CTTGTCACAGACGAGTGGACGAGTGGATTTTTCAAGCCCTGTCTATATATCTATCTACATATATATCACACCCCTTCACTGCTAGCAATAAGGTCTGTTTTTATTGAAGTATTGAAGGCCCCACTTTTTCACAAAACTGATGTATTCAGGATTCAATTCACATTATAAATCTGGCGTGTCCATTTTCACCTTTTAGATGTCAGGTTAAGGAATGGAAACATTTACTCTATGCTGCACCTAGAGGGCATCATCTGATACATGGTAGCAATGTCTCATGATAGCAATGGCCATGCAATCAGTGATCTGTCTGTGGACTGGTATGCTTAGAGCACCCACAATTATCTGGCTTTTATTTGAAATAATGCAGATACGTTACTTACTTTAGCCACAGTGATAGAATAGAGGTCTCCTGCAGTTGCCAGCTCTTGGGCGAATGCAAAATATTTGTTTGTTTCAAAGGCCACTGAAAATGTGCTAATGATATTGGGATGTGAGGAAAGGCACAAGGATACGCAGTATTCCATTAGAAAATTATCCTTCTTTGTCTTGGTCTTCTTCATTAACTTTAGTGCCATAACTTTGCCTGGAATCATGAAAAGTAAAGTGAGTGTGCAAAGTAATTCACTGATTTAAAGTTCTTCATTTTGGTATCAAAGGTTATCATACGACAAAACACATTAGGTAATGAATACTATTTAGGCAATATAATATTACACTGCCCTGCTTTAAAGTGGAATGTGGAAGGACATTATCTTGTATCCTGTTTGTAAAAAATTGCCTTCAAAGTTATGACTCATTCCAGCATTACCTCAAACATAATCCTGCATACAGCCTGGTCTGCTAGTCATATGTCATATGTGCTAGTCATATGTGATGTCAGCAATCTCCTTCCTCCCAAGCTTTACTACACACTGATGTCTGCATATCTGAAATGTCAGGAGACTTCAGAGGTTGAGGAAAGACTAGTCTGAAGCTACTCAGATAAGGAATTCATAACACAGATTGGAAGTTATATTTGGATCAGAAAATGGCACTAGCAAATCTGATATGCAGCATGCTGCCCCCATGCATGGCAATCTCCAGCAGGCAGGGAGAGAAGAGGAGGAAGATAGTTTGTGTAAGAGTTTTATTTGATTCACCTGAGACATGCAGAGAGCGTTTCCAAATCTCTATTGCATGCACACTTCCACACCTTTAGGGTAACTAGAAGTGTCTCCAGAGCTGGAAGAATATGCTTGTTCCAGAAGGAGTTGACTGGATGTGGCCATGCTAAGCATAGGGCTGCGTTGTTGCGGTTTATGGGAGTTAAATAGTGGCAGATAAACCTTATCTGTATTAAGTTCAGGGTGCTAAGATTACCAACGATTGGAGACCCAGATGAGCTCACCCTTACCTGCATGGACATAGAGGTGTTGGAGCAACAAACATTCTGGGTGATACTTCCAAGCAAAACCTGACCTCTGTGATGTACTGTGGGGTCAGTAGGCCTGAAACCATATGATTAGTACTCGGTTCAGCATCAAATATCTCACTTCAAGCAATGATGAAGGGGGTGCCTTTGACCCCCAAAACACATTGCGAGGAATTTATCAAAACTGGAGCAGGTAGAAACTGGAGCAGTTGCCCATGGCAAC